TCTCTCTCTCTCTCTCTCTCTCTCTCTCTCTCTCTCTCTCTCTCTCTCTCTCTCTCTCTCTCTCTCTCTCTCTCTCTCTCTCTCTCTCTCTCTCTCTCTCTCTCTCTCTCTCTCTCTCACTATACTAATATCTCCCTTAACCTACAAAGGACATGCTGGCCCGCGCGAACCGCATCAAATCCACCCAACCTACCCCCACAAACCACATCACCTTTCTCAAGGCCAACATCACGTCCATCCCCCTTCCCTCAGACACAGCAAATTGCATCATCTCGAACTGCGTTATTAACCCCGTCCAGCATGGAGACAAGCCCCCCGTCTTTCGCGAGATCTTGTCAGATACGAAGGTACTCGGTGGTACGATGTGGAAGGATCTAAAAGATTCCAGGTGGAGCATGAACATGGGCACCCCGGTGCACAGACCACATACTTTGTGTATATCAACAAGAACAATCATCCTCTTCGAAGGACAGAGGAGAGGAAGAGAAAAAAATGCATTCTTCCCATTCATGGATGACTAAAAACAGTGTTTTCTAACAGATTTATCGTTTCCTAAAACCTGGTGGGTGGGTTGCCGTGTCGGATATCCTGGCTAAAAAGATGCTGCCCGAAAAGTTGGTAGCGGATATAGCTATATATATGGGGTATATTGCTGGGGCTAGGGAGTTGGGTAAGTATAAGAGGTGGTCAAATGGGGTGGACTCACTGGTAAGTTTCTCTGTGGTGTCAAATCGGTAATGAGGCAAGAAAAAAGTCAGTGCACCCCCTGTCCGCCACCCTTTTCCCCATACAAACGGGTAAAAACTCACTGTTTTTAGAACGCAATTAAAAATCGAATAAAAATCGCAAAAATATACGGTAAGCGGGGATATAAAACCTAAAAGTGGAAATATATTATAATAATTTATACTATATTCTATATGTAACGTGGTTCATAAGCGAGTGGGACACACAAGCGAGTAAGATACGCGTTGCGATATCGCGGCACTTTTTTTTCGCGACTAATTGCTCAACCAAAAAATATATTAATAAAAAACAACGAAAGCCGGGTAATTATTGCCTTTTAAATTTTGCAATTTAACCCGAAACTAAACATCCAAGCCGCTGCAAAAATTTATTTGGTCGCGAAATCGACTTTCGTTTAGCGTAAAAGTGGTTAATTTGCTTAATGCGATAATACGCCCAATTGCCGGAAATTAACGAATTCCGAAAAAAAGGCTTTTATTAAATACATATTCGGGTTAAATTCCCGTGCATTCCCTCCCCGGCTTTTTAATATTAAAAATATGGCTAATTAATTGTTTGCTGAACGCAACGCGGGCGCCGTCGGTAAAAATTGGGTTGCGAATTTTGTTAAACGCCGCGTAAAGCTCGGCACGCGCTAAATTCGAAAGTACGATTACCAAAAGGCCAAATACGAAAATCCCAAGCTCGTTTTTGCCTGGTTCGATTTTATACGGAACATTATAGCCAAATATAGCATCCTAAATGACGATATCTACAATTTCGACGAAACCGGTTTCTGTCACAGTGCAACACTTAGGTTCTGTATAAAGAAACTGTTGTTGCGCGAGGAGAAGAGAGAAAGGTCCTCTGGCTATTCGGTAGCGGGAGGCCGTCTATATACAAGGGTTGGTGGTGGTTTGGGCGTGGGCTAGGGTTCGCTCCGTGACAATACCCCAACCTAAAACCGCAGTTGTCCTCAACTGCAGATTTAATGGTGGTCACGTGTGGTCGTGAAGGTCTCGCGACCACCTTGGACGCGCCGCGCCAGTTCCTCGGTGGGGAGGGAGCTATTCAACCCTCTGGTTAAGTCCAACATCCGATGCACGCGCGTGTCTGTGCTCGCTTAACTCGGGGTTCATGGCAGCTCCAGCACGCAATGAGATGGTGTTCGTCGCCAGGGGCGACAGCAGGCGAGAGGGGCTGGCAGCTCATGTATTCTTACCTCCTAGGGCCGGTACGGCACTACCGGTTTTTTCATACTATTTTCACAAACCGCTTGGAAACCGGTTTCTAGATCTGTGCAGGGGGTTCTTGGCCCCTGCAAAAACACCGATAAATATAGCAGTAAACCCGCCAGAAGTAGCTTTTTGACCAGGCCAACGAGGCCCGTAAATGTTGCCCCTGTAGCCCACGTGTAACCCTTGATCTGGCTCGAGGCCGGCCGCCGGATATAGAGTAAAGGAGATCCGCATCAAGTCGAGGGAGTAGGGGCAAACAACTCGCTGATTTCAAGCGCAATTCACGTCCGTTCTGTGCACCAACTATATCGTTGAGCTCGTCTTTTTCTGCTTTATCTAATGGCTACTTCACTTGCCGCCTCCCGGGCCCTGTACCAACGCCAGGTCAGGCATCTTTTCGTACTTTATCTGCACGTTATTGCCGCCTACTGCATGGCCGGCTCCCCCAGGGGCAACGGAGGCGTACGAACCGTGCATACGACGATCTTTTCCGGCGGCACCTTTCTCCAATACTGGCTAAGGCCGGCGGCCGCCAGGGCCTTCCCGGAGCTCTTCCGGGTCAACCAAAGTACCTTCCGGGCTCTCTACGACTTGCTGATCACGCACACCCAACTGGCGGGCTCAAAACACGTCTCTAGCCATGAGAAAGTAGCCTCTTTTTTATATATCTGTGGGCAGGATGCCTCGCTCCGGGCAGCGGCCCATCTTTTTGGCCGCAGTCCAGACACAACGCGGCGCAACTTTCACGAGGTTCTCCGCGCCATGATGCGCCTCCACGTTGCGTTTGTGACGTTGCCAGACGTTTCCGACGTCGTTTGGCCCGATTGCAGGCGTCAGGAAGTCCAGGAGGCCTTTGCCGGGTGCTTGGGAGCCGTCGACGGGACCTTGATTAATGCCAAAGTTGCTGCGGAGGAGGGAGTCGTGTGGAGGAGTCGGAAGGGGCCCACGGCACAAAACGTCATGGCGGCCGTTGATCACCGCGGGCGGTTCGTTTCTGTAACTGCAGGTATAGAGGGTTTAGTTCACGACTCCCAGGCGTTTAGAGAGGCCCTCGCGCGTGGTTTTGTGGTCCCAGGCGGCTACTACTACGTTGGAGATGCCGGCTTCGGCCTAGGGCAAGGGGTAATAACTCCATACGGTGCGACAAAGTATCACTTACAGGAACAGGGATTTGCAAGGCCGGAAACGCCGGAGGAGCTTTTTAACCTGCACCATGCAAAAATACGGGTGCGGGTTGAGAGGTCTTTCGGTGAGCTTAAAAACCGCTGGAAGATAGTGAGGGGCCCGGGACCAAGCTACTCTATCCGCACACAAATCAGTATCGTGCTGGCTGTTACGGCCCTGCAAAACTTCATCTGGGAGAGGGAATTCAGGGCATCTCCGGCATCCAATCCCGGTTTCAAACCGATTACAAATGCCGGAGGAAATGCACTTGAAAGGTCGCGGGTTTGGAGGGAAGCAGTGGCGCGGGCACAGCAGATCGGCACAACGCAGGCGTCTTGGATCCAGTATAGGACTTGGATAGCGAGGAGGTTGTGGCAGGACTATCAGGTCTATCGGGCTCGTGAGGATACGCAGTAACCTGCGTTTGGACCGCCTCGGCGAGAGGAATCGAGAGAAGTTACGGCTTGTTGATGGAAGCACTGGATCAAGTACAATATTAGTTTGAATTAAGTGGCCGGGCAAAAGGGTGAAGTTATTCCCAGTGTGGCCCTCCGGTGATATCCCACAAAAATTGTAACAAGATGGGCAAGTCTTGGGCGATGAAAAATGATCTGCTCAGCACGCCGTTGCCACCATTGCAATCCCCCCGTCGAAATGAGTCGAATGCTATCTTTTTCGAAAAGAACAGATAAAAAACCAAAGGAGGGCCGGCGACTGAATTAAGGCCCTGTTTCGGATAACTATACCATTACTTTTCCTAATTAGGCAATAAACGCGGTGGCTATACGTTAGCCGAGATTTTATCTGGATCCAGGTGGGTATCGGTTAGGGATTACGTTACAGAGGCGGCACTCGTTGAGCTTTACGGCCAACTTCCGTCGATTGCTTTCCGATGCTTCTGGCGTTTGTTTAAGCCGGGACTGGGTGCATTTTTTTCGCCTGTTTAGGAGCAGTTGAATGCCGTATCCCGCGGCGCAGTTGACGTTGTTTTCATCTATCTACGAGCGAGCGATATTGTAACTGGAAACCTGCCCAGTGGTAATCCCGTGCCGACTTTCCTTTGATTCCCTCCCTCCCTCCCATCAACCCGGAAATCAAAGCTAACAACGCGCCTCAATATCTTCTGCAGATGACGACCTCTACGTACGAAAATACCCTTATTCGAACCGCCTCGATCACGAGAAAATGTCCAGCGCATCACTTTGTACCAGGTCCACTATCAACGGCCGGTCCCCCTCCTCCTTCAGCCACCAGTTGGTTACCATCCCGTCGGACTTGAAGATCCGGATCAACTGCCGCTTTGTGGTGCTTTCCAAAGCGCCCCACGGGCCTTTTTGCAAGTTCCTTGCAGCCAATATCCAAGGCTCGTGCCTTAGGTAGTACCTAAAGGGCGAGGGGGAGGCGTAGAGAAACCTCCTACTTGGAGGGGTTAAGTCCCAGTTAGACCCTGATCCGGCCCTAGCCAGCGTTTGTGCAGCTTTAAGGAGGCGATTACCGACGTGAATTTGGGCTTGGGCTACCGTAAGGTGGCTGGCTTTACCAGGGAAACGTCGCCCGTGGCGCTCCCCGGCTCGCTAACGTGCCGGACCCTCGTCGCTGTCCTCTTCGGCCAAGCGTTGGGCGGCCGTAGCGATCTGTTGCCCCGTCGCCCAACGGCCTGCAAAGGCGGCCTCGTGAAGGTCCGGCCGGAAAAGAGGCCTTCTGCGCATCCAACGAGCGTTGGGCCGCACGGCAAAGAACGCCTCCCAGGCGTAGTCGCTGGCGAGGTACAGGCCCGTTACCGGATCAACGGAAACTCCGGACCTTTTCCCAAAGTCAACCCAGTCCCGGTACTGGCTTTTGAGGCTGTTATACTTGTTTTTAACCCTGTTAAACCACCGGATAAAGGGCCAACGAGTCGACGGTGTCATCGCCGCGATTTTTAAGCACTTGGAAAGCCAGGAAGTTATCGCCGGATTCATCATCCCTTGGCGGCCCGACTCCGCAAGGCTTTCGAGGAAGGTCAAAAGCTGATCAACAGACCAGTCGTTGCGTTTCCCGGCCTCCTGGGAGGCCTGGGACGTCCTCTCTAACGTCGCCTAGCTCAGTTGAGAGTCCAGCACGTCGGAAAAAGCGTCGGTAGGTGCTGGAGAGTCCCTGGGGAAGAGGCCCGCGATTCAAAGGGGTCAACAAAGTCGTTGTTGTTATTAATATCCGGACTGCTGGAGGAACAGATGGAGGTCCCTAACGTGATTACGGTGGCCTGGGTGGCCGGCAACGCCTCGGCCGGATCAAAAGTCTCCTCCGGATTAAAGGCCGGGGGATCCGAAGGAGGTTCGGATTGGGCCCGATTCTGGCTCCCCCGGTGCCGGCGTTGAAGGCGGAGGGACCGGTAAGAAGGCATGGTGTCGGATATAAAGTAAGTAGTAGGTAGTAAACTTGGGCTGGATTGGTGCTTGCCTTGCTTCTAACTAGACTGCCAGTGACTTGCACTTATATACCACAGTAATCTCTGGCTTTTGGGCTTTCCAATAAGCTTAACCCCGTCCCTAAACGCCTTCTGGATCCCTTGCAACGTGAGGTTATCGTGGCTTGTTTTTACTCTTAACTACTGTTATTGTTATTTTTGGGAATAGCTTTTATTTTAATCGTCTGTGTCCGTTGTTTTTTATAAACGGACGTTGCACCGGGCTTTTAAATGCTAAGTCAATGCACCCCCTGTCCGCCCACCCCCCCTGTCCGCCCACTCTGTAAGTCCACAACATAAAATCTTCTAAAGTACTCCCGCCCTTTTATTTCTATCAATTTTGATCCGTTTTTTTTTACTTTTTGCTGCATTTTAATGCCCAAATGCCGGAAAAACAATATACAAAAAAAAACGTCAAACGGGCCTTCGCTGCGGTGCAAGCGAAAGGCGAAATCCAACGGGCTACCCGGCTTTATAAAATACCGGTATTAACCTTTAAGGGCCGTATAAAAAGCGCTTTACTTATTTAACAATTACAAAAAATATATTAACGGATATTTTTTAAGCAAAAAAAGTGCATAGCTAATTGGATTTTATTACAAAACTTTTTAAAGCTTTTACCAACGCACGCGGAAATTTGGTTTTTTGCAAAAAAAATATTCCGGTTTAAAGGTAATTTTTAACCTTTCGGAAAGCATTAAATTCGTGCTTTTTTAAACCGTTATTCGAAAATCCAAACCGGAAAATTAAAGCGCATAAAAAACGCACGCGTTTAAAAGGTTATTATTGCAACGATAACGAAATGGTAGCAGCGTTTGCAAACACCGGAAATGGCCCGGATTAAACCGGAAAATACGTACAACGCCAACGAAAAAAGCTTGCAAAAAGGTAAAACCGGTAACGGGCTTGTTTTAAGCTTTGCTGGCATACGGCCTTTACAACGCAAAAAGCTTGGGTTACGCACTTAAACTTCGTTTATCGAATGCATTTCGGTTACGGGGGTATTATTGCTTCCTTTTATTATTTTTAAAGGAAAAAGCGTGCAAAAGCAATGGTTTTTTACAAATTTGGCCCTTTTCCGAAAGTGGAAATTTACCGTTATAAATAACGGTTAAACCACGAATCCTACGGGCTTAAAATGGCTGCAAAAGGTGTTTTTCCCACGCACCCAACCCTTTACCTTTAAGCTCCGTTTCCTAATTTTAAATAAGCACGGATCGCACGTTACTAAAGAATTTATGGCTTTTTGCTTTTAAAACAACGTTTTCCTTTTATATTTGCCCGTTTATATTTCCCACGTACTGCAACCTTTCGATTTATCGATTTTTAACCCTTTAAAACAGGCTTACCGCTAAAAAATCGGGTTTTAAGCTTTATTTATTTGCTTAACAATGGTAAAAAAGCGTTAATTTTTAACGGTTTATGCTTACGCACGATTACTAGCCTTTATTGCTTTTAATATAAAAGCGGGGTAACGGGCGGCCGGCTTTTGGCTTTGCAATATAACCAAACCTTTTATAAACCGCTTTGTTTTTAATAACTTTAGCTTAAACGGCCGGCAATCCGGAATTTAACAATTTGCAAAGGATAACAAGGCCAAACAACGTTTAACAATTGTTTCCCAAATATCCCAAGTACTTTAAAAAACCTTTAAGCGATCGAAAAAGTTGGCCGTTTAAATTAGCTTTATTAAAGCCCGGATCTTTGCAAGCTTTACAATACGGTTTTTTTTTAAAAAGCTACAAAAAGGCTACGAAACGCGCGAATACAATTTGGTTACCGCTTTGCAAAAAATTAAACGGTTAAAGGCCCAATTAAAAGCATAAAAACCTCGCAAAAAAAAAAAGTGGCTTTTAATCCCAACGAAGCTTTTGTGGATATTCGCTAAATTGTTGCAACGAAAGGGCAAGATTTGGAAAAAATAAATAGTGCGTTTAAAAGCCCGGACGATTTTAATCAGGAATTAACTTTGTTTTGCATCGAAGTGGCTTAAATAAAGGTAAAAATTTGCAATTGAATGTAGTAAGTTTGGTGTTGATCGGATCCTACAGAGTGGGCGGACAGGGGGGGTGGGCGGACAGGGGGTGCACTGACTTACACCATGAAAAAACGGGCCCAAACAGGGCCAAAGATACATGATTTGGCACAGGGCTACCCCGGGCCTTGTCTCCACGTCGAGAAATAAGCTTATTCTAGGTCCACAAACCGGTAAGGGTGCCAAAAAACTTGAAAACCGTTAGTGCCGTACCGGCCCCTAGAATAACATCGCGAACTTGCTGCGTGGGCCCACCGACTTCGAATGTGGGGTGTTAAACGGCAAGGTAGCGCACGGCTCGACCGTAGCCATCGTAAGCTCCGGTCCCTATCGGCCTGGCAATTACTTTAAATAGTAAGGGTATGCCCAAAATACAAAATAAAATCGGCGTCTAGCATACAAACCATAGGATAGCAACTTAAATGGTCCTAAAAGAAATCACCATTTAGCGATACAATTTAAGCGTTTAACAAAAGTCCTGAAAGCCTCTCAGCCAATATGGTTATGGTTCCATTCACTCGAGGCTTAATAATTTCGGCTCTTCCGCGATCCATTGACAGCGCGGTTAACCAGCAGTCCCGCCATTGCCGCCTTGGCGGCGAGCCATTTGTTACTGCTTCCGCGTTTATCGATTATCGTCTCCACTGCCGCGGCGCCTGCGGCCGCCTCCACGGGGCCAACCAACTGCTCGCCATCAGCTCGCGCAGCCCTGCGCGATCTAGGTGTTTCCGGCCCTCCGGTAGCGCTCTAGCCGCGTGCTGCCAGCTGCTAGCACCGATATCCAGACATTGGCGGTGGCGCTGCTGCTGCCGCCGGTCAGATTGCGCATGCCTTTCTTGTGACCGCGAATTGACCGACCGGCCCTCGCGGCCGAAATGACGGTGTGGCTTGCCATTTTTATCGAAATAATCGTCGTCGGGATACTCGCAGTTGTATTGCTCATCCACCCTAAGAGGAGTCCCTGATACTAAACCAGACCCTCCTCCCCGAATCTCCGTCGCAGCAGCAACCATGGGCGCCGCACCGCCCAGCGGCAGCGACGGCGGCGCGGCCATAGTCGCCCAGTACGGCGAGACCAAGCGCGGCCTAAGTTCCCGCCACGTCTAGCTCATGGCCATCGGCGGCTCGATTGGAACGGGACTTTGTAAGCTAACCACCCCTTTCCCGGAGACTCCCCCACGCGCTTCCCCCGCGATATGGGGTACCGTTTATTTGGGGCGCCGCGCCGGTAGCCGGTTAAAGCTTTTTGTGGCTTTGATTTGCTAACGAAAAATTACTTCCGAACAGGGATCGGAATCGGCGAAATGCTTACCAAGGCTGGACCGCTGTCGCTCGTTTTTGGCTACACGTTTTGGGGACTTTTTTACATTTGGCCGTTTAACTTGTGCGTTGCCGAAATGTGTGCTTACTTGCCGATCCGCGGCTCCATTTTCGAATTCGCGAGCAGCTTTGTTAACCCAGCTTTTGGCATTGCCATGGGCTGGATATACTTTTTCGCCGGCTTTATGCTCGTTTGTACCGAGTATTTTGCTATCGCTACCGTTATTTGGTATTGGGACTCCAGCACGAATCCCGCCGCGTGGATCGCCGTTGCCACATTTTCGTGCACTATTGTTAACGTGGTTGCCGTTAAATGGTACGGCGAGGCCGAATTTATTATAGCGTTTACAAAAGTTTTGCTTTTTTTTGCCTTTATTTTAATTACCGTTATTACTATAACCGGCGGTAACCCGCAAAGCAACGCTTACGGATTTCGCAATTGGGGCAACGGCAACTTTATCCATTTTTACCGCGCTGAAAGCGCTACCAGTAATTTTTTGGGCTGGTAAAAGGTTGTTCTTTACGCCGGATTTACCATTGCGGGCCCCGATATAATCGCGCTTGCGGCTGGCGAAATCCAAAACCCGCGCTATACTATCCCGCGCGTTGCTAATCTTGTTTTTTACCGCCTGGTTGGATTTTACGTTATTGGCGTCCTTTGCGTTGGTATTATTTGCAGCTCCGTTAACCCAAGCCTTTTCGATGCCATTAAAAACAAAAAGCCTGGTGCCTTTTCGAGCCTTTGGGTGGTTGGCATTAAGCGCGTGGGCATTAGCGTTTTTCCCCACGTTATTAACGCCACCATTATGCTATCAGGGTGGTTGTGCAGTAACGCTTACCTTTATTCAGCCAGCCGCACGCTGTACGGTTTGGCGCGCGACAACCAGGCGCCCAAATTTTTCCTTAAATGCATGTTACAGTCAGACCTCTGCTCCTAAGGTAAGGCACCAAAGGAGTACTAAGCAGTAACACGTGACTTGACAGGTTGAGGGGATTTACAAGGTAACTTGGGTGCGGTTTGAATGCTTGCTCCAAGGGTTGCTTGGAAGCTAACTAGAGATTGATTGATGCCGAAGCCCAATCAAAAACTACTTAAGACAGTAAGAAACCCTCCTTCTTTTATACCCCGGCCTCCTGGCCTGTAGGAGTTGATATATTGGATATGTCCATATCCTTCATATTAGAGTTGGGCAGTTGATATGTAACCGAGGCTTATATCACCAAAAGTGATATGTGCCTTCCTAACATATTACCTTATCTGGTTACGTAACTTGGGGATGACCCCGCTTCCTGGCCTCTTGTGAGGCCGTTACCTGTAACCACTGCCAACCCTTTTGTTGGTCCGTAACAAAACGCTAACGATTTTTTTAAAGTAACGCTTAAACGTTATTGCAATTTCCGCTAAAAATTAAATACAAATTGGGGGTTTTTATTGGATATAATGGTTTTGGGGGTGCCGTATTAACGGTATATTATTAATAAGTAAGCGTTTGTTAAATTGCCCGCGTTAATAGTATTTATTGAAATATAATGCTTTATTTTTGTTAATTTGTCCATTATTACCAAAATATTGGTGTAAATAATACCCCGGCGTTTACACGGCGGTAACGGGCCAATAAAATCCATTAACAAATTCGCCCATGGTTTAAACGGGATTGGCAGCGGTTAAAATAGCCCGTTAAAAAAATGCTTCCTTTTTTTAACCATTTTGCAAAAGTAATAGCCCCGGATAAAAATGCTAACGTTTTGGAAAAGTTTTGGCCAAAAATATAATTTTTGCAAAAAGTTATATATTTTGCTTTTTTTTGCGTAACCGCTAAGTGGTAAATTATGCATTTTATGCAATATTTGCAATTAAAAAGCGTTGTTTAAAAGGATAAATAACCTTTTTTTAACGTAAATACGTTTTCGAATTGCTTGGCAATTGGTTTTAGCAATTTTAAACGTTTTGCGCAAAAAAGCGGGGAAATAACGGATATTCGGGTTAGCAAAGCATTGTAATAAATTTTGGCAAAATTTGGACGCGGCGTAAATTCCGTTAATAAATGCGTTAATAAGTTCGGAAATATCCAATTGGTACAAAAAAAAATATTGGAATTGCGCCGGCGTTTTTTCCGTTTACCGTTTCGAAAGGAAAAGGATTTTGTATTTATTAACGAAGCGATTGTTTGTAGCAACATTACGGGGCGCCGGTTTAACGCCAAAAGGTCGAAAAAAAGCGTTTGGCATAATAACTATTTTTTTTAGCTTGTATACAATTTGGAATTTAAAATTGCTAAAAAATTCAAACCAGCGTATTTACCATTAGTTAAACAATTTAGTAATAGCAAAAAACTGTAAATTTTTATGGTTTGTGTAAAGAGGATTTGGAAGTGGAGTCCTTTGTTTGCGGATTTCCAAACGGCATAAAACTGAACTTTAATAATTATTAAAAGGTAAGTTAAATTAAAATGTTGTATTTAAATTTAAAAAGGAAAAAATTTTGCTAAAAAAAAAGAACGGATTTAACCTTTTTATATAAAGGATAAAAAAGCTTTGGTAACTTTGTGCACAAATTATGGATTTGTGCATGGGAATTACATAAATTCCGTGCATGCGTTTATTTGGTAAATTTTAATACCGATTATTTTTTTTTTCCAAAACGCATGCATGGTAAAAAAAAAAAGGAAATTTGCGGTTTAAATGCGCAATAATAAATAATTTGCTAAATTAGTAATTTGGTTAACATGTAAAAAAAAAATGTTTGTCCAAATTGCTTTGCCGAATTCGGGTTGTTGCTGGATAATAAACGTGCATGGAATTTTGGTAAATTATAAAAAATCCAGTTCCGGGGCTCCGGGATCGTTAAATTAAAGGTTGTAAGCTTTTGGAATCGTAATAAATTAAATAAAAGGTTTTTATGGTGTTTGGGAATGGGTGCGTTAAAGGCGAAGGTGGAAGTTAACGGATAAAAGCCGGTAAGCCTTTATTTAACCCGTTAATCGTTAATCCAATTACTTTAATTTTTTCCTTTTATAACTTTATTTTTTAGGCCGATTTAATTGGTTACGTGCGTTTCGGAATCGTTATTTGCAGCTCGTGCGCTCGTTGTATCGTCGTTTTGTTGGAACTTATTAAATGGGCGCATGCACGGGATCCATGGGATCCCCATGCACAAATCCACGATTTGTGCACAAAGCCACCAAAGCTCCTTTGTCCCTTATATAAAAAGGTTGGATCCGTTTTTCTTTTTTAGCAAAATTCTTTTTTTTTAAACCTAAATACAACATTTTAACTTAACTTACTTTTTAATAATTATTAAAATTTAGTTTTATGCCGTTTAAAAATCCGCGAGCAAAAGATTCCACCCCCAAATCCTCTTTATACGTTTTTTTATTTTTCTTTATTTAATTCCGTGCTTTATACCTTTTTAACAGCATTATAAACCTTCCGCTTGGCTTAAACGCTTAGGATTTATTTAACCACGCTTTAAAAAGCGCTATTTCGTTAAAAAAAGCTTAGGATTAGCAATTAATTGTTTGGGTTATTCCAAAGCAAAGCTTTACAATTTACCTTTAAGTTATGCCTTTTTTTTTTTTTTTTTGGACGACGCGACCTAGATGCGACGAACGAACCGACCTCCGACCGGACCACGATACCTCGCCTCGAACAACAACAACTCTCTCTTTCACTGAACGTTTGGAGGTGCGGAAGACACCTTACAAACAACTACTTACGAAGACGACGCGGAGTAGAAGATACCTCGAAGGGAAGGAGTTTTTACCCGGCTTTACACCAAACAGCTGTCGGCTGGAAGCACGGTTTTTACCTTTAAATAGCTACCCCGATCCGTAGTGCTCCCCATGGGCTATACAGCTTGAAAGGGGTAAATAAATTTATATATATGCCTTTTTTTGTTAAAAAATTTAACAAGCTTTTTTCGTTTTTAGCATTACAATTTGTGCTTAAAAAATTCGCCCGCGCCCGTTCCGGCCGTTTTAATCGCTTTTATCGATTGCAAAAAAAATCGTACCGCTCCCCGCAATAACCGTAATGGTTCCAATATTTGTAAGCGCGGTAAAAAAGGTGCTAATCAAACAACGATTTGCTTTGGCTGCTTTAATTCCGTGCTTTACGGCAAGTTTAGCGTTAAAAGCAATATGCTTTAGCCTTATATTAAAAAGCTAAGCTCCAATGGCAAGCGTTGCTAGCGTTATGCTTTTGGTTATTTTTGCAAGCTTATATAAGGAATTTTTTTTGCTTGTTTTAAAGTTTTTGCGCTAATAATTAATAATTTTCCAATTATTTATCGTATTGCTATAAAGTTTTTGCTAAAGCGCTAA